CACATACAGGTACAGGAGCAGGGGGTCACATACATTACAGAAGTAGAGGGTCACATACAGTACAGGAGCAGGGGGACACATACAGTACAGAAGTAGAGGGTCACATAGAACTACTGCAGTTAAGTTACACTTACAGATCTTGTCCCTGCTCCAGCCTGTGATTGGACAGTGAAATAAGATGGAAAAGAATGTGGCATTCCTCTCACTGTCTTTCTAACCTCTCCTTGCGCTGCGTCCCCCTCCCCCAGTGTAAGCTCTGCTGTACAGGGTCTGATATCAGGTCATATTTACTGTGCTTGCATGTCAATGACAGAGCCGCAATCCCAACAATATACACTAATGGCAGTGGAACATTGGACATGTCTTAGTACATTCAGTTCCCTGTACGATGCATTGTTATATTTGATGCTCTGTCTATATTCTTATTGCTATCTTCATTAAACTTCCAGGAGCTCAACGGATCCAGTAGGTCACGAGGTGATCTGGGCATTAGGGGCCGGCTGCAGAGACATCATCTCCCTCCAGGTGGCACCGTTACATCCATGGTAAGAGAAGTCTCCTGGCACCACCGGGGAATAGGGGCTGCCATTGCTTACCTGAAAATTCTACTTCAAAATAGAAATTTCCACTTCATCTGTTTTTAAAAACTTTGATAAACACAAAGAACAGCAGTAGCCGCCATCACCTGTCCTAACAGGAACACGGACACCGTTCACGGCAGCTGCTGTTGCCCTTCTGACCTAAAGAAGGTAACTCCATTACAGTAGGAGTTATGGAAGAAGTATGAAAAATAACTCTGTGGAATTCAGTTGTAGTTGAGTCTAGATCAATGCCTCAGCCTCACAGATGTGCATTCTTTAAAGGAGAACTATGGGGTCAGGGCTTTCCCCATAGTTCTCCTTAGGGTAACGGGAGGACACGAACTAGCGTCCTCCCGTCACCCTAAGCTCAGTATACCGCGAGCTACAGCTCTCTATATACTGAGACGCCGGAGCTGAAGCGGATCCCGACATCGATGTCGATATCCGCCCAGCTGCGTGACTGACAGCTGGCTCTGCCTATCTAGAGGCAGAGCCAGCTGTACCCGCCCCCTCCCCCGTCCGTTCCGCCAGTCAGCGCTGGGAGATCGGAGCGGGGAGAGGGGAATCCAGCCCCTCCCCCTGTCACGGCAGAGAGCCGTGACAGGATCGAGAGGTGAGCGAACGCCGGTATGTGTTCGCTCACCTCCCGATCTACTGAGCCGACCTGTGACAGTCTCATTGTCACAGGTCGGCTAGAACTACGAGGTGAGTGAAAAGGACCCACCTCATAGTTCTCCTTTAAGCTGCACCAGTCCATGTGACCATTTCCGACAGGAGGAGAAGTCATTTGAAGACCTTGGCTTTTTAACGTTTATAATGCCCATGCGTTACTTTAAAGTGGACTGCTTTTTCCTAGGAGGTCTACTGTGTCTTATTAGCTTTCTGGACGTTGTTATATAGTCTTATTGGGTGTCTAATTTAGTGGTATCGCCTTCTACATTAAGGTAACCACTTTTTTAGGAAGGTAACTCCATTACAGTAGGACCGATGGAAGATGTATGAAAAATAACTCTATGGAGTTCAGCTGTAGATCAGTCAAGGTCATTATCACAGCCTCACAGATGCATAATCCTTAAAGGAGAACTATGAGGGGGGAATGCTTTTCACTCACCTCATAGTTCTAGCCGACCTGTGACAATGAGACTGTCACAGGTCGGCTCAGTAGATCGGGAGGTGAGCGAACACATACCGACCTTCGCTCTCGATCCTGTCACGGCTCTCTGCCGTGACAGGGGGAGGGGCTGGATTCCCCCCCTCCCCGCTCCGATCCTCCAGCGCTGACTGGCGGAACGGACTGAGGAGGGGGCGGGTACAGCTGGCTCTGCCTCTAGATAGGCAGAGCCAGCTGTCAGTCACGCAGCTGGGCGGATCCCGGCACAATTGTCGGGATCCGCTTCAGCTGCGGCGTCTCAGTATACCGTGAGCTGCAGCTCGCGGTATACTGAGCTTAGGGTGACGGGAGGACACTAGTTTGTGTCCTCCGGTTACCCTAAGGAGAACTATGGGGAAAAACACTGACCCCATAGTTCTCCTTTAAGATAACCACTTTTTAGGAAGGTAACTCCATTACAGTACCCAGATAGCAAGGATAACTTGCTACAAACTTGTGGCGGGGTAAAATTGTAATTTTTGTTACCTTGCTGCACACATTCCTGGCAAGTTGTAGACTTGCAGAACACTCGCAGCACAAGTTCTAGGCGACACTTTTTGAATTTGTAGCAAATTTGCTCGGCAAGTCTACAGCAAGAGTCCTGCAGGTCTTAGCAAGAGCTCTGCAAGCTCGCCGGTCTGGAGACTTGCAATGCTGACTTGCTGTAATTGTGCAACAAATATGTGAAGCTCGGCAAGTCAGCAATAGTTTAGCAAGTCATTTTCCAACTTGCAGCTCAATTGCTTGCTATCTGGGTAGGACCTATAGAAGATGTATGAAAAATAACTCGGTGGAGTTCAGCTGTAGATCGGTCAAGGTCATTATCACAGCCTCACAGATTTGTATTCCTTAAGCAGCACACCAAACCATCGATGTGACCAATTCTGACGGGACCTCATTAGAAGTCCTTTGAAGACTCTGGCTAATTAAGGTTCATGATGCCTAGGCATTCCTTCTAAGTGGACTGCTTCTTCCTAGGAGATCTGATGTGTCCTACCAGCCTTTCCGGACCATGTAATACAGTCTTATTTCATGTCAAATTGAGTGGTATCTCCTTCTACATTAAGGTAACCCCCTTTTAGGAAGGTAACTCCATTACAGTAGGACCTATGGAAGATGTATGAAGAATAACTCTGTGGAGTTCAGCTGTAGGTCAGCTCCACTTTCCCCACACAGTTTGGCCCCATTATCATCGCACTGCTCACTGTCAGTAGGGTGATAAATGCTAATAAGGAACATGAGAATATGTATGGCTCCTTGGAATATGTAAGTATGGTAATTACATTGATATTGGTCACATGGCACCAATGCAGGACAAGGAATTCCTTACTTGTGAGAATGGTTTTATTGAGTGGAGCAGAGCGGGGGTCACTTACATCAATGTGGCCACTGGCAGCTCCGATATCTATCGCTCACAGGTCCACTTTGACTTCTCCCTTTAATGCCAGTGTACTTTGTGGTTTGTTGTCTGGCAAAGCCTCCGATCCCTAAAAGATGTGATAATGTGTTTCCTCTTCTCCTGTTTCCTTTGCACACAGCCAACAGCCTACGCGTTTCAGTAACCGGTGCCTGCAGATGATTGGACGATGCTGGCCTCACCTGAGGGCGCTGGGCGTCGGGGGAGCTGGCTGCGGGGTGCAAGGGCTGTCCTCGCTGGGTGAGCAACCGGCTGTCATGTCTCTTACGTTCTGCGAAATCACTAATAACAAAACTGATACAAAATCGTTGTTATTTACAAAAGTTTTCACACCCAGCTCTCTGTGCTGAAGTTGATTGCAAAAAAGAATTGAGATGCAGAACTCCTCCTGTTGGAGTGGTGCAGAATTACACCCTGTGGTCGATATTTCCCACACAGGGAATGGTTCTTGGTGTACGGTGGGGAGAAGTTGGGCACCAATCTTTTAACCTTTTATTGCTGGACTCAGTTCAATGGAAATGAGTTTAGGGGTGTAGGATACCCAACAATAACACGCAAATAGGACAAGGTATTCATTAAGTGATAGTGGGCCCTTTAAGAGTAACATCTTGGTGATTGCTGGCCCTGTGAGAGCAGCCAGGCAGATCTATGACTTTGTAAGAGCAGGCACAGTCTACAGGTGAAACTCGAATAATTAGAATATCGTGCAAAAGTAATTGCAGTAAGTGCTGCAAAAGTGGCCCAAACCAAGTACTGAGTACATATGCATGCTTGTACTTTTCAGAGGTCCGATATTGTTCTATGTACAATCCTTGTTTTATTGATTGCATGTAATAATCTACTTTTTTGAGGTGGTGGATTTGGGGTTCTTGGGGTCTTCATGAGCTGTAAGCCATAATCATCACAATGATGACAAATCACGGCTTGAACTATCTTGCTTTGCATGTAATGAGTCTCTCTCATATATTAGTTTCACCTTTTAAGTTGCATTAGTGAAATAAATGAACTTTGCACAATATTCTAATTATTCGAGTTTCACCTGTATATTAAGTTGCAGTGGATCTCCTTCCAATAAATCTGGCTCTTGACCCTTTTAGAACAGTGAAAGATACCTTGAATGATAGGCAATGAATCCTTATTACAAAGTCCAGCTGTAGCTTCTACCCGGCTGCTCTGCGACACTCTTCAGCATAAAGATTCTTAGCAAATCTACATGTCCGCTCCAGCAGGCAGCTAAGGTTCTTGGGCCCCGGGCACATGATCTCGGCTGAGGCAGGGCCCATGTGTCGCCTTGCCTTAGCACATATCCTCTTTCTGTAGGCACACCTCATCTTACAGGCAGAAGTCCAGGAGGTAGCGAAAGGCGTCTCAGCAGGCAGCTTAAGTACTTGGGCCCCGGGCACATGTCCTTGACTGAGGCAGGGCCCGTGTGTCGCTTTGCCTCAGCACACATCCACTTCCCCTAGGCACACCTCGTCTACAGGCAGAAGTCCAAGAGAACACTCAAGAAAGGCGTCCCAGCAGGCAGCTTAAAGGAGAACTATGAGGGGGGTGCTTTTCACTCCTCCTCATAGTTCTAGCCAATGACAATGAGACTGTCACAGGTCGGCTCAGTAGATCGGGAGGTGAGCAAACACATACCGGCGTTCGCTCACCTCTCGATCCTGTCACTGCTCTCTGCAGTGACAGGGGAGGGGCTAGATTCCCCCCTCCCCGCTCCGATCCTCCAGCGCTGACTGGCGGAACGGACGGGGGAGGGGGCGGGTACAGCTGGCTCTGCCTCTAGATAGGCAGAACCAGCTGTCAATCACGCAGCTGGGCGGATCCAGACATAATTGTCGGGATCCGCTTCAGCTGCGGCGTCTCAGTATACCGCGAGTTGGAGCTTGCGTACTTGTATACTGGAGCTTGTATACTGAGCTTAGGGTGACGGGAGGACGCTAGTTTGTGTCCTCCTGTTACCCTCAGGAGAACTATGGTGAAAAGCCCTAACCCCATAGTTCTCTAAGTTCTTGGAACCCTGGCACATGTCCTCGGCTGAAGGAGGGCCCATGTGTGGCCTTGCCTCAGCACACATCCTCTTCCCCTAGGCACACCTCATCTTACAGGCAGAAGTCCAGGAGATAACGAACACTCAAGAAAGGCGTCAAAGCATCCAGCTTAAGTTCTTGGGCCCCAGGCACATGACCTCAGCTGAGGCAGAGCCCGTTTGTGGCTTTGCCTCAGCATACATCCTCTACCCCTATGTACAAACCATCGACAGGCAGAAGTCCAGGAGGTAGAGAACACTCAGGAAAGCCATCCCAAATATCTATCATCTATCAAAGCCTCTGAAGAAGGACCTCAGAGATTGGTTGGGCCACATACATATTCACAACCCAGTATTTGTCCTTCACACACTGATGATGAATACCACCTTCACAATAGCAGGCAGAAGCAATCAACCCGCTGAGCTTAGGGGAACCAGCAGATTCCAACAAAAACAGAGCTCAGGCTGCAACAAGCAACTAAATGTTACTGCTTTCAGACCACCGTACATACAGTATATAGATGTCCTGGTTCTCAAGCGGCAAGATCATGACTGCAGCAGGAAGGGGAGGGATTGGCTTGGCAATGTAAACATTGCCATGTGATTGCTGTGCTAACCAATCACAATAATCACACAGAGTCGGCCTGATTGGCTATGTGCCTGAAGCCGCTGCTCTCTGCCGTTGAATGACAGGTGGTGCCGTGGCTTCTGTACACGGAGATAGGCAAGCAAGGGAACATGTACAGGTATGCCCCCTTCGGATCAATGGTGCTGCGGGCCGGCCATATATGTGTAGTGCCCGGTCCCCAGGAGATTATACAGCTTTCTAAATGAAGATTTTTAAATTGCTCCGGTCCCAAAGTGGTTAATTAGGGACACAACAGCATAGGGCAGGGCCCCTACAAGGACAATAAAACACATACATAACCTCCTATAAAAGAACAAATGGCTCCTGGGTAAATGTCGCACTCACATGGCAATCCTGGAAGTAATTCCTTGATACAGGGAGCTTGGAAGTCGCATACGGCCTGGTCTGACCTGGAACAACGATCCCTTGTCATCACTGAGGGACAGGTCTGCATGTTAAGGGACCCTACAGAAAGTCCCTACAGAAAGGCAGACTAGGTTATGTTTGCACACGGAGCACATTACCTTCTATTCTTAACTTTGACGTGACTGTTCATCATCCCCCCCACAGCTCGGAACTGCATGCGTCTGCAGGTGCTCGAGCTGGACCACGTGACGGAGATCAACCAAGAGGTGGCAGCGGAGGTCTGCAGGGAGGGCCTGAAGGGACTGGAGATGTTGGTTTTAACTTCCACGCCGGTCACACCAAAAGCCCTGCTGCATTTTAACAGTAAGTAGGAAACTGAGCATGGCACAGACCACCCGCAGGGAATGTTTATAAAGAGGGTCCTGGAGTTTTGCAGTTACACTGTTCAGGTACTTTAGCTCCAGCTACTCAGTCCCTGGTGGCGGCTCCCTATACAACTCCTCTCCGTGGAACTTGCAGCAAAAAGAAGACCAGAGCTGCACCCACATTCAGCTAATGGCGTGTGATTTTATTATACCCCAATTGTCCACATAACGCCCAAGCGCCTAGGAATATGCCCTTATTGAGCCAAACGTGTAAGCAGAGGATCTTGTGTGGATTGCCTACAATTGGATGTGAATTGATCCCAGGGTGCGGCTCTGTTCTTCTTTTTCCGTTCTGCAAACATTTTGGCTGGGTTCACACCTAGGCGTATCGAATATGCGCGTTTGTTACGCGATTCGCGGTAAAAGAAAACGCGCAACATATACGCGCATTTCCGAGGGCTACTTGGCTGTATCCCAATGGAAACGCGCGACAAAAACGCCCCAAAGAAGCTCCTGTACTTCTTTGGGCGTAGGGCGTTTTGTAGCGCGTTCATACGGCCTGTAATACGCCCCCAGGTGTGAACCATACCCATAGGAAATAATGGGATTTCGGTGTTTGAGCGTTTTGCAGAGCGTAGGAACGCGCTACAACACGCCCAGGTGTGAACCAGGCCTCAGTGGACTAGATATAATCTCATTGGCTGTCATTGGGCCCCATTCGCGGGAGTTATCAGGAGTACAGGGTGTATGCCGGCATATACAAGCAAGGATTGCAGGGTAAAATCTCCATTAAACAGAGTTTACTTGTGACAGTGCAGTGGGGGGTTCCTTCATGGGATTAAATCGACATTCTTTAATAAAATCTTTGATCCCCCATTTTTAAAATGGGGATTGTTCATAAGCAGTCGGAAACCAGCGAATGTAACACTGGCGTTGTAAATGAGGCGAATGTTACAAATTCTATTCATACTGAGCTCAAATTGTGGGCGATTCCTGATTGCCCGGGAAGCCGGCTCCATTTTCCCCCTACGGCACGTCTGGTCAGAGGAAATTTTCCTCTGGCCGTAAGTTCCTGTATCAGGGAAGGTATCGGAGCATTTGGGTGAGAACAAGTACTCGCCCAAATACTCGGTATCGGCACTGATACTAACATTGGTGCATCCCTAATCAAAATGTATTTGACTGTGCTAAATAGTGCTTCTCACTGATCAGCGTGGTCACCTGACCACGCTGACCAATGAGAGCTTGCAATTTGCGAGCAATATGCATGGGGCAGGGCTGCGCTGGACAGTACACCCGTACTGATGGAGGGGAGGGACTGTTCGCCAAAAGGTAAGTATAGCGGGGAGGAGAGAGAAGTTGGAAGAGACGGGGCCAGATTCCATTGGGTTATTCCATCTTCCCATATTACTTGGGAAAGTGAACTTACCCTTTAATGCAGATTGTGTGTGTGTGTGTAAGAGTTCTGCTGCCTGGCTACCACAATGGAATTGGCGGCAGCACTCAACGCGCACACACACAATGTCCTACGGCAGGGGGGTTTTAATTTTTTTTGTTGTTAATTTTTTACTTTATCATTTTTATTTTTAAACATTTGTATATATTTTATTGAAAAATTATTTTTTTTTACTTTTTTTAAAATTTAATTTTATCCCTATCACAAGCCCCTTTGTGATAGTTTTGGGGTGACAGGTTCTCTCTATGGAACCTGCCCTCCAACACAGAACAGAAGTCCTGTGCAGTTCCTGACAGCTGAGACAGGTGGCGCTGTGATTACAGCGCCACGGTCTCAGAGATCACACAGAGCAGACGAAGAACCGACGTTCTTCGTCTACTCTACACTCTATGGCTGAGCCGTTCTGCCGTGGTCTCGGGGACCCCGCAAACCGTGGGGGCGGACACGATCACCGCTGCTTGTTTGATACAAGTGATCTGATCAGATCACTTGTACTAAACGAGCGGCGGCTCCCCGCTGTACATTTAGCTCTGCTTGTCCGGGCGGGGCTAAATGAACAAAAAAACTACTCGCCCGGCGCCCGAAACTGCATGTCCCTGGCGTTGGGCGAGAGGAATTCCACACCCCTGTAAAGGCACCAAATCTTTCAATGGGCACCCAAGTAGTCAGTGTCCGACCTCTACTTTGTATATCTACAGGTGTCTGCCGCAACCTGAAGTCCATTGTGGTGCAGGTTGGCATCGCGGATTACTTCAAGGATCCAAGCAGTACTGAAGCCCGAAAGCTGTTTGAGGAGATGGTCAATAAGTTGCAGGTAGGTAGTCCATTCATCTATGCACTCTTTATTTTGGGAAGTCTACAGGATCATATCACAAAAGCTTTAACACCAACCCTAAAGGTGCCCATACACCTTACTATTATCGGACGAAACGTTTCGTCCGATGATCGAATAGTCGTCCGATTTTCGTACGGCAGCCCCATCCTGCCCCGATGATCGCAAGATTAATTTAGCCGTAATTAACGAAAAGCACCTGGACGAAATGCGGGAATTGATTTGTCGTATTTTCGTTCGCGCATGCGCAGTGTAGATCGTACGACTTTTGACGGACGGAAACGCCAGCAACCTTACGACAATCGTACGATCTAGCAAAGTTTTTAAACATGCTTGACCGTCAAAAGTCGTACGATTGTACAGTAATGTCGGTTCGGGCACTCTATTCACACGTACGATTGTCGTTCGAAAAGTCGATCGCATACGATTATCGTATGATAATCGTAAGGTGTATGGGCACCTTAAGACACTCTATTTACAGCCATGTGGCTGTCATTTTTGTTTTTTTTAACTGCTTGCTGACCGGGGTGTTTACACCCCCTTCCTGGCCAGGCCATTTTTCAGTATTCAGCGCTGCGATACTTTGACTGACATTCAACGCTGTACTGAAATGAATGTTATACATTTTTTGGGGGACAGATAGAGCTTTCTTTTCCTGGTATTTAATCACCACTACGGGTTTTATTTTGTACTATAATATCTATATGGGTTGGACTTGATGGACGTATGTCTTTATTCGACCCTAAATACTATGTAACTATAATTGTAAATAAATGTTTTTTGACATTATGTTAGGAAACATTTATTATTACCCAGTTTTTTTGTAAAATATAAAAGATCAGGTCACGTCGGGTAAATAGACACCAAACATGCCAAGCTTTAAAATTGCGCGCACCCGCGACATCGCAGAAAACTACCATACCCAAAATTGGCCATAGGCGACACTTTAAAAGCTTTTACCGCTCATCAGTTTAGTGTTATCAGTGATTGATGGCCCTACAATTATTGCTCTCACTGCGACGTTCGCGGCGATATGTAACATGTGCGGCGTAATGGGCGCAATTGTCTTTTTTGCACGCTGGCACACCCGACGCATGTTTGCATGCGTGTATGTATGGGTAGGGAATTGTTTTTTTTTATTATTCTTTTTTATGTGTAACTTAAAATTTTTGGCCGGAGGGGGCGGGGGTGATGTAATATACAACACTTCCGCATTCTTTCAGAGGAGAGGGGACCGGAGGGAGCTCGTGTAACCATCTCCCTCTGCTCCCCTGTGACACAGGCGCCATGCTGATCCAGGGCTCGCACCGGGCACAGCGGAGCACTGGATCAGTGGGACAACGGCGGGGGCACTGATCGTTACCCCATACAAGCGATCCGCCGGCTGTAGAGCTTGTATGTTAACAGGCACCCCCAGCGGCGCGCGAGGGGGCGTGTCTGAGCGGACGCCTAAAGACGCCCGCTCAGATCTAGAGAGCTCCCGGCCGGCTGTTTTTTTTTACTACGGCCGGCCCTGAGGTAGTTAAGGCAGACAGAGGACCCAGTTGTACCACAGAGAGAAAAGTTCTGTCCCATTTGCCCCCCAATAAGGGCTCCTTCTCACAGGCCCGGTTTGCGTGTTTGGTTGATCTTTCCAATGTCAGCAGGATACACAGTTGAAAGAAAGTCCATTCCAAAGAATGTAACATGTAAGCAGGTGGCACGGGCTCGGGGCCACAACTGCACGCTAAGAGCTAAGCTTTCACTCTGCCAGATTGGTGTAGGGTGTTGCAATCTAAAGAATCTTTCCCGCCTGGCTGGCAGTAGTGAACAAAGCAGTCACATGACCCCCATTATAGAATGAGCCTGGCGCAAGAGCAATGTGTCCTCTGCCATGTTGGGAGAGCCTGTGTCTAATCTAGACACAACCCAGAGTTCCCTTGAGATTTGGGAGGGCCATCATTGATGCCGGGATGATATTTATAGTCCCCGCTACGTCACTGGGGTGCACTTGCTTTGTGAGAGGTAGGCCTAGTGGTAGGGGTGGGTTACTGGCAAAAAAGGGACATATTAGGGACTTGCATGTACATCCTTGGGAGAAGGATGGCATTAGCTGGCCAGCGACTGCCTGAGGTGCCGCGCGTGTCTGGATCCTCTGGCAGTCGCCTTGCGGTAGCGCCGGGCCCCAACCCCAACACTTATCCCATCATTCTGGTTATACGCTGGCTAGGACAGCACCCTTCCCAGAAAATACACCTTTGAGGGTATCTGCATGAGTATTTTCTTAAAAAGGCATGCCTCATCCTACCTCCTGTATGTAAGGCCGCATTCTTGGTCTGCACTGGAGATTGTTATTAAAGTGTCTTATTGTGTGGAGGTGAATATGGAGAAGAATTCAGATTTGTTGTCACTAGGGATGCACCGATACCGCTTCTTCAGTATCGAATACGAGTAGCGATAGTTTTGTTTCGGTACTTGCCAATACCGAATACCGATACCAGTGCTTCTGCTAGAGTGGAGTTGGCTTCCCGGGCAATCAAGGAGCCAGGCATCGACATGCCGCACGGCTTCCTGATTTCCCCGGAAGCCGGCTCCATTGTGATTGGCCGGTAAACCAGCTTCCCAGCCAATTAGGAAGCCAGGCGGCGAGTAATGACCCGCCTCCCAGCCTCCTGATTGTCCGGGAAGCCGGCTCCATGATGATTGTCTGGAAAGCTGGCTGCCCAGCCAATCAGCATTGAGCTAGCTGTTCGACCGGTCCGATTTTGATTGGTCGGGAAGCTGACTCTGGAGCTTCGGCGGGCTTGATGCTGATTGGCCGGGAAGCTGGCTTCCCAGGCCAACCAGCATGGAGCCGGCTTCCTGGCTAATCAGGAAGCCAGGAGGCAGATCATTACTCACAGCCTGGCTTCCTGATTGCCCAGAAAGCCAGCTCCATGTACCCCTACGGCACTGCCGGTCAGAGGAAATCTTCCTCTGACCGGAAGTTCGGGTATTATTGAAGGTATTTTGAGCATTTGGGGCGATACTCGTATCGGTATTGCTGCATCCCTAGTTGTAACTGCTAATTACTCTTGAATAAAAAAAGGTTATAGGGGAAATGGTGGTGTCACCTTTCCCCTTTAACCCACCATCACCCCTTGAGCACCCACAACAGTCAGGCTTTGTAGACACCGGTTGGCACCAGCTAACACATTTTCCTGTGTTTTAGGCTCTTAAGAAGAGGCCGGGCTTCTCGAAGATTCTGCACATTAAAGTGGAGGAAGGCTGCTAATCCCGCCTGATAGGAAATAGACTTTGTGATCCTCGAGCCTCCTCCGACACCTAGACCGAACCGTCTCCTCATGAGAAGTGCCACCAAGACCCATTGCCAAAAACCTGCTTCCGAGAAAGTGTCTTTGTAACACCTGACTACAGCAGTGCAATAGAGGGACACGCCCCTTGACGTGGGGCTCCTCCCTTGGTGCCGAGAAAGGGTAACACTAACCTCCAGGGTTGTCCGATAGAGTCTTTATCATACATTTTCGGTGTAAACTTCACTGCAGCAGTGCAGTACCGAGCGGCGCTTCAATGGGGTCCGCCCCCGGTATATGTAGCACTGCAGGCGATTCCCAGATTTTCCTAATGTCCGTGTGGATCGTATTCTTTGTGTTTCTGTCACGTGAGATATACTTATAAATCTGTATATTAATATATATCAATATTTTAAAGATAAATATATAAATATATGCTATTATTTAAGAAGAAGAAAAAAGCATCAATGGAAGCCATGTGGTATTCCAGTTAATTTATGTTCAGAGGTACAGTATATAGAGGAAGTCTTGTGTTGGATAAAGACCATCCGCTGTCCACCGTGCAAAGCGCCCCAAGCCGAGATACAATGTCATTTCGGAAGGCAATAAGACCCGTTGGCGGTTATGTAATACAATGTATCACCCTCGAGAATCCTGTGTATCTGCATAGAGCCATGGCCTTGGTCTTCATGTAGCCACCAGGCCAAGAAGAACGCACTTTGGAAGAAGCCTTCACCAAGCATGTGGCCACCGAGAGTTTTGTCAAGCTCTCTAGGAGGACTTTGCCGCCTTCATATGCACATGGTGCTATAACAGAACTCTTTTCCTATCCAACTAATTTTTCATAGATGGCGGGCAGTGTTCTGTTGGTCAGAGAATAAGGGTGGGAACATTAGCACTTTATGGTGAAACGTTCATGAAGTTGGAAAGGACTTGAACCTTTACAGAGAGCCATGAATAGTCATATAGTCATTGGTCTCATTGGTACACCGAGACATTCAACATGTAAAGCACCAGGCATGGTCCAGAGGTTATTTTGTACTACCAAAAGGGAAGGTGTGCAATCTAAGCATCCTTGGTTGTAGAATGGATGTTGGGGGGGAAGAGCTATCTTGGATATCCCTGATTGAGATGTCAGGCACTGCCATATTCAGAGTTTACAGTGAGTGCGGAAACGAATGCCAAGCAGGCAGAAAGAGAACGCCTGGACTGGTTCAAGGTGGTAGGAAGTCCGGAGCTGCAACAACAACCACTTTTCACAGCAGTACTGAGCAGAAGGCCAAATCCAAAAGTGTAACTGTATCCATGGCAGACCACGTAAACTACTATGGGGCCCAGAAGCATAGTGGGCCCAGAACTGACTGGTTACACAATGTTATATGCAGCTAGAATTTGAGCTTGGCAAACAAAGAGTATATGTAGTTTGGGAACCTCTATAGGATTGCCATGAAAGCAATCGATATGCTTGGTCATTAGAGGGATTGCATTTGAGGGGGGGGCCTTAAAAGCTGAGCTCAGGGGCGATATGAAAAACACACATTGATAGAGCTCTGTAATCATGGATACATTATTAAATGCAACGGTATAAGTACCTAAACATGACCTGCTATCAGCCCTGTGCAGTCCCTGTAGAGAAGGGTTGGAGTGTGAGTGATAGAAGTAGCACAAGGAACTTGGAGGAGAAAGCAGAGCGGCAGAAAGATGAGCTCATTGCTGTGTTGCTTCTCCATTCCAAGGACGGGGTAGGTGGGGGGGAGGGCGCATTCAGGAAGACCTGGGCTCACGGAAGTGGGTTGAAGGATGCTGGCCATCAGACTAAGGACTTCTAGTGGCAGGAAAGTACTGCAGGGGAAATCTCTGGATTGAAGCTGAATATAGTTATTTTTATGGACTATTCATTTTTATCTTGGTATTTTTGCTGTTGGGCCCCATCACACGTAGTTATGGCCCTGGCAATGTTGAAATGCCTAACACATGCAAGAGGACGGGCCGTACAAGTACAAGACCAGGCCAGGTCAATTCCTGCCAGCTAAGAACAGGAAGATGAGCCTACAGAGGGCGCAGGGTGAGCGGAACGAATGAATGAAGACGAGAAAAACTCGGCCTGGACTGACTAGTCTCGGGTTCTACCACGGCATGTAGATGGCAGGCTCAGAATTTGGTGTATATGGCACAAATCCATGGACCCGTCCAGTCCTGTGCCCAGGATTTAGGCTGGCGGTGCTGGTAAAGGCGCAGGGCTGTTGGAGGATTATTTCTTGGATGCCCCTGAACAGTGATTGAGGATCATTTGAATGTCACAACTTACTTGCCAAGCACAGCCTTCCTTTATGGGCGCTGTATAGGTGTACCTAATATAATGAACCCCTCGTGTACATCGTAGAAGAGGAGAACATCCCCTACCTAGATGGAACGTCAGATATTTGAAGTTCCTGAGTGCCATTTGAGGGTCAAAGGAGGCTGACGGCAGCATCTTGCACCCGTAATTATTTCATAGGTGTATGTAACTGTCCAAAGTCGTAAACTGAGCTGACTATGATCAGGGGTGAGTTGAGAGCAGTGTGTGAATCTGATCAAAACCCTTCCCACGTCTGGCATATAGTGAAATCTTAAAGCTGGGTAGATTAAAGAGACCCTGTCACCTTTCCCATTGCTACATATACCCCCCTCCTACTCCAAACACACCCCCACCTCCATATTATTCTTGCCTATACAGCACTTCCATTCTGTTCCTGTCTCCGTCCCTCCAGCCACAAAATACCACGTGGTCCTGGGTGTAGGGTGGCATGTGACTTCCTCTCACGATGCAGAATTAAATTATTAGCCATGCACACTGTCAGTGGGGTGTGACGTCATCACCCTCATGTAAGTGCTAACAACCAAGGAAGGAATGTCAGGGGAGAGCTGTAAAGATATGGTGGCCTGGAGGTGAACTTTAATGGGACACTGTAACTTCTTCCTGAATGGGCAGGATGACAGGGTCCCTTTAAGAAGCAGGTATAATGGCCCATAGATAAGGACATCAGAAGTTAGAGAACATCATGATGGGTGTAAGCAACACCCCAGATTCCAATATCACAGCTTGTATATGGTACAACTTGCTCTGCTCCTGATCCTCCCTCTTCCCTCCTGATATAAATTCACCTAAAATAGTAAGTAAGCGGAAGTCTAATTTTTTGGGGGAAAAAGTTTTTTTGTACAGGTGAAAGTTGGACAGACGTTCAGGAGCCGAGTAGATTGTATGGTATGCAGTGCTTCATGTTTGAGGGTCCGAACTCCCTACCTGCTGGCTCAGACCACTCGGAACTTCCATTGAAAACAAATCTCTCATCATGATAAAGGAACTGAACAGGCGTAAGGTGCCTACATGGCATGTACAGTATATGGACAATAGCTTGTGGACACCCGACTATCACACCTTATATGAGTTGGTGGACATCTCATTGGCCCAGCTTTGCAACTATAACAGTCTTTCTTCTCATCTATAACGTCGTCCCTTTTGGGAAGGCGTTTCCCAAGATTTTGGAGGGCATGTGGGACTCATGTGCCCATTCAGCCAACAAGAGCATTTGTGAGGTCAAATACTGATGTTAGACACTCACAATCAGCTTTCCCGTTTACGCCATAGGGTGTTCAGTAGGGTTGCGGTCAGGACACTCAGGTTCTTCCACATCAAACCATGTCTTTATGGATCTGGCTCTGTATACATGAGCACGGTCATACTGGAACAGAAAGGGGCCTTCACCAAACTGTGACCACCAGGCTAGAAGAGCGCAATTGTCTAAAATGTCTTTCGTATGCTACATCATTAACAGCACCCTTCACTGGAGACACCTGAACTCATTCATTTATAGGGTTGTCCTCATACTTTTGGTCAGGTGTCCATATAGTCTTTATATGGACCCCTTCAGCTTCAGCTAGGAGGTTATCACGAGCAACGTTGGGGTGGTCTCGTAGGGTTCGCAAACCACCCCAGGCTGGAGTCTGCAGCAGCATCGGAAAAGGCTTGACTGGTGTCTTCTAATTTCTCCCTTCCATTCCCCCGCCCCAAGAGTAGCAATATTAAAATTATGCTGATGGCGTTTTTGTCTACTGTAGCCTCACCTCCAGGGAAAGGTGGACTTTTTTGCACCCTTATTGGTATTTTCCGAATTTGGTTTATTGAAAGGCGAGTGCTATAGACTTGAACCTAGTACCTGCTGCACTGCCTCCTCCCGTCCCATCCCCCACATCCTAACCCTTAGATGGATGCCTGTAGGGACATAACGCTGAGTACAGTAGAGGTAGAGCTCCTGTTATCTTTAGTTTTATAGAAAACTCTCTATGTAAAATGAAATACAGATTTATGTCAGAAGACCCCAAGCATTATATCAAAGGGTAACCTTCCATCGCCCAATAATGTTATATCGCAGGTATAGGTCACAGATCCGTCACTTATACCCTGGGGGGGTGATTATACATCAACTGCAAAGGGATGCTTTATCAGCAACTCGAGTAACTCAGTTTTTCGGCTCTCCAAAACAGGAAGTAGTCGCCATCTTGAATTGAGCGGTATTTTAAAGGGTCATAAACAGTGAATTGCCTTTGGGGCTGGATCACACCATATGCGGTGCGTTCTGGCGCGGTTTGTGCCCGGGACCTACTGGATCGCATAAACCAAGCCTCGCGCATTCTGCTGTACCACGCGTGCTGGTGATCGCACTGCAGGCAGAGGGCGTGTCTGCAGTGCCATTGACATGAATGGCACCACCACGCCCCGGAATGTAGGGGATTGGTTTATGCAATCCAGTGCGTTGCGGGCAGGAAACGTGGCAGAAGGCACTAGATATGGTGTGAACCGGCCTTACAGCTAAAGTCCTTAAACTATAATCTCCTAAATAATATGTAAAATAAACTAAGCTGATCTGTGCAGTCATGTCTTTAGCGATAGCATGAAAAGGAAATAATACGCATTACTAAAAAAAAATCCCATTGGGGCCTATTCACAAAAAATCATTGCATAGCTGTTTGTCCTTTGAAACTTCATATACATTCATTCTGTGCGAATTATACTGACACTAAACTCAGGAGTTAAATCCTAAAAATACATTCAGGTACCTTAACTATTAACAACAATGTATCTTATTTGTGTATCATTTGGCTGTAGATCCTCAAATCATCTCTGAGGGTTTGTTC